CTCCAAAAGTGGTCCGAGACCGTCAGTTTTTAACACTTTTGACTTGAAAATGGGCTTAGCGCCACAACGGCGTGCACTTTTTTCGACATCCAACCTCCAAAAGTGGTCCGAAATGTGTGTTTTGTACATTTTGACTTCGAAATGTGCTTCGCGCCACAACGGCGTGCACTTTTTCGACATCTCAACTTCCAAAAGTGGTCCGAACCTGAGTGTTTTGTACATTTTGACTTGGAAATGTGCTTCGCGCCACAACGGCGTGCAATTTTTCATCACTCATCTGGCCAGCTGGCTCCGCACCCGCCGCTTTAGCGAGCCTACTTTTCGACCCTCCGGAGCCACAAATCATTGGAAAAACACAAGTGTTTCGCGACTTTCCTACCTTTTCGTGCATCTGCATCTTCTTTCTTCTTACTCTTTCTCTTCTACTCTTCTTTCTTCTAATCTTCCTCTTCTTTCTGCCTCTTCCCTGCTCTGCTTTTCATCTGTCCATATTGTCGGAAGTTTGACTTCTAAACTTCCTTCGATGATGTAAGACATTTCACTTTGATTTCCGTAGCATTTGGAACCTCTTTCGAGCTCTTCACTGGGTCAGGCTTAACGACGAAGATGTGAAGCTTCCAGAGCTGCGCATCGACGCCAAAAGGAAGGCATGTGGCCTGAGTTCACTGCCAAAGGAACCTCCTTCCCCATCCCGCTCCCGGTCGCCTCTGCCAAAATGGAAGAGGTGGTGATCGGAGCATCGAAGTATGGGTTCCGACATCGGCATAGTGCGCTGGGAGGAAACAGAAATACCTCCTTGCGCTTCCTTGCGTTTGCTTGCGACTGTACTTAGAGATGCCAACTTTCAAGGCACAGTGTACATGTCGCAGCAGCTAGTTACAGCTAGTTAGATGTGCCACCCGGAAAAGCAGGTTGAGCGGAGGTGTTTGGAATGTGTTCGGATGTGAGTGCTACGTAGCAAATTGACATGACTTTTGTGCCATTGATCACCGTGGAAACAGAGCTTGGAAAGGTGGTAACGGAAGCATCTGAGAACCTTTGAACATTCTTGAGAGCGCGGATGGTGACAACTCGTGACAAATCAATGATATCCCACAATTTGTTGCTTCTTTCTTCAAGAACGCAAAGCCTTTTCAAGTGCCGATGTCACACAGAGGTCGAAAGGTTGTTCATGTGTGACCTATATTTCCCACGGGGGCAGTGGATTCTATTTTATAGATTTTAATGGTCATCTGGTCTTTTTGCGCAGTTTTGTGTCCGAGCCGAACACAACCGTGCCGCCTTTTGCTACCTTTGTTTTGGTTGCTTTTGCAGGCTGCCCTGGAGAATGTGTCAACCACTGCAAGTCGAAAAAACTAGAATTATTAGAATTTGAATTGATTTGATGAACAACGTATTTTGTAAGGGTAGCTCTTGCAATGTAAATCTATGTAAGATTGACGGATTTCTTCTGTGTTTTTATATCAACTTGTCTAAAGTAGCTAGGCAAGCATGGGTGCCTGTGAAGATCCAATGTGTCCCGACAAAATGTCAGTACTGCAACAGCAGAGTTCTAAACACTTCTGCAAGTGCAAACACTTTGTTGATCTTTGTTGCACTGCAATGTGTTCCATGGCATCCTGTATTCTTCATCCACGACTTAGATTGTCTTTTTTGTTTCCTGCATATTTCGACAACAGTCTGGAAGGCTTAAATGGAAGCCTTGGAAGCGGTCGGCAAGGCATTGCCCGATCTGTCTGTATGTAAAAAATCCTGAGTGATTCCGAGAGATATATTCGCAAGGCTCAAACCCGGCCAGTAGGTGGGCCTGGAAACCATTGACATTTTTCGAAAAATTATCCATCTTGGAGCTTTGAAAGGTACCGGCCAAGCACCTCTGTATTCGCATCTCAGGGGTCTACTAACAGCTCAGCTTTAAACGCAGCTTCAAACCCAACATTCCATAAATTTCCCATATAATTTACCTTAACATTTGGATTTGGCAGTTGGAACCTGCTGGTGCCTGCCGGCGCCTCCTAGAGAGGTCCTGCAAGGCACATGTTCTGGGGATGGGGAGCGCAGATGTTTGCAGGAGAAGTTGAGTGCGGTCAACGAGAAGGCCAACTGCCCTCTTGCACAGAAACTTGTGGAGGAAACGGTTCAAACATGTTGGAGATTTCAGTATATAATTTCAGTATAAGTGATAAGTGTGTTTGTTTGACAGACGTCCAAAAACGACAAGAAATCCCAGCATTGAAGTTGGGTCCTCGATGGTCCAAGATGGTAAAATGATGTCAAATTGATTCAAATTGTACGTATTCGTTTTGCCATGTTCCTTGGTACGGTGGGTCGCAGGGCTTCGTCCCAGATGAAGTTCGCAATACTTTCTTTAGGCGCGGGTAGAGACGAGCAAAACTTTCAACAAAATCTTGTCACACATTCAGACTTCAGACAAACATGAAACCATATTCAAACATGATGAACGCAATAGCAGATATGGCAGATATGGCAGATATGGCAGATATGGCAGATATGGCATTGGAGGCTTGCCAGGCCATGTCTGTCCGCCTTGCCCGCCAGCTTCCCATATGGCCAGGAAGCTTCGGATGAAAAGTGAGAATCGATCCTGCTTCGAGTGTCCCAACAGGACCTGACACATTGTAACACATTGTAACACGCTGCACAACAGATGTCACTTGCACCTTGGAACGTGCATATTTAAACTTAAGGGTGTGAAGGCAAATGTGCATAGAGATATAGAAATGATATGAAATGATATAGAGATGCATAAACGTGCCAAAAACGATTGAATACTGCATGATGTACTTGGATCAGAGAGTTTGAATGGATTTTCCGTCAGGAATCCAACGTGGATCTCTTTGACTTACGGTATCTACTTGTGTGTGGATCCTCAGCCAAGCCCCAGTTTCTCGGCTCAAAACAATCCCTGCCTCCGAATATTCCGAGACATTCCGAGATATTCCGAGATAGTCCGAGTCTAAGGCCTGGAGTGCTCAGGTGAACATCGACGGAAGGCATGGTCACGGCGATGCCATTTCACACATGTGCCCCCGTTGGAATATGCGAGATGGCGAGATCATTGGTTTTGCCATGTTTTGCCATGAAAAGATGTTAAAAGAACCATAAGAATCCATAAGAACCATATGCAATCATTTGCATGGATTAGCGAGGCTTTTCAAGAGAAGACTAGTCCGACGCAAGATTTGAAATTGAATGTGTAGGACATGATGGAAATGCCGATGGGGTTCCCGTTGGAAGTACAGCATGTGGAAACCAAATTGTGCTTCAACTTTCTGCCCAGGGCGTCCACATTTCCTTCGTCCGTAGTGCTTGTCGCCAAGTTTTTTTTTTGAGCTTGGAGACTGATGCAATCAGGCTAGAAATTTCAATGCGAATGATGGTCTTTGAGATTCTTAGAGTCTTAAAAGAAGCAACTCGGACTTGTTGATAAAAGACAAAGAGGCGAAAGGAAACAGGTTCTGAAGTTCTGGCATGCGGACAATATACATGCAGAATCAGATACGGAAGGGATATAATTTGAGGAATTTCGCAAGGCTCTAATACGACATAGGACATAGATGGACATAGGACCATGTCGAGGTGTCGAGGTCAGGCCTTGCCGGCGCATTTCTCGCTCCACGTTGAGGTCGAGCTTGATAGCTTTGCGCCAGAGCAGATGGTGCAGCACCTCGGCTGAAGGTCAAGACGTCAAGCCGTCAAGCCGTAAAGCATTGAAGAACTGGGCCGTAACTGGGCCGTGGCACGCCCTGGGGCATGCCCTGGCTTTGGATCTGTATTTACATCCGCCTTTTCTATGTACCGGCTGTGCAAAGAGTGTTGAGATATTTACAAAGTGTTGGAACAGGAGGGATTTTGTTGGAAAGAGATTCTCTTATGCTGTACTTGTAGAAATTGCATGTCCAATGTAATTGCGTGAGTTTGTGATCATTGCCAACAAGGATGGCTGCTGGTGGCAATGGCAAGGCATGGTGATTTCGCACAGAAAGTCTCACGGAAGCCCACCAAAGCATAGCGAAGTCGGAAGCAAACAGCTGAGCTCACAGAGCCCACAGAGCCTGTGCGAACAGCTGTGCAAGGCCTTGGACTTTTTCAAAGGAAATGAGATGGGAAAACTCAGCAGCTCTGGACGTCCAGTGGACTACACCTCCAAAGTTGCCCAGAGGCGTGTTGTGTCACATGTGTTCTGTCACTTATGTCGTGTTATGTCGTGTTATGTCGTGGTATGTGACATTGTGTGAAGTGTAAACATTCGCTGACCCCTTGTGATTTCTCGTGTGAACTCAGTCAACTCAGTGGCTGGGAACAGGATCCTTTTCGGTTCTTTTCTCCGCTTTCTTTGTTTCATCCGGTCAGTCCTTGAAAGGTTCAAAATTGTTCAAGAAATTTACGCACAAAGGACAACAAGTGGACAACAAGTGGACAACAAAGGGCCTAAACAGCCCCAAACAAATCTACAGATTGTATTTAGGCACTGGGATGGCACTGGGATGCCCTTGGTTCCGAGGTATAAGGCTCAGCTGGATGCCGAAGCGAAGAAACTTTGCGAGAAGTACAATGTGAGTGCCAAGAGCAGCCAGGTGAGCAGAAACTGTTCTTTAAACAGTTTCAAACATCTTAAAGCATTTCAACGTCTTACACCACGTTAAAACGTTTTAAACCGTCTTCAAACATCTTGAAAACAAACTATGTGCGATGCTCCACAATGTTCCAGTTTCTGTAGCAGCTTTAGAACCGCGGGAGAGACGAAGATGTGGTCAACTAAAGGGATGTGGCCTGTTTGCAAGCTCTCTGACATGGGCAATCTCCAATTCGCGGAATGTGCATGTGATCTGGAAGCACGCTTGATATCATTAAGCGTGCTTTTGCAACTGCTTCCAGGTGAAATTTGAGGCCTCTTTTGCTGCTTGAACCTGGGAAGGGGGTCTAGGCGGGTCTATGTAGTCTAGTTGTTCCAGGAGCACGAAAGAGAACTGCGTGGAGGACTTCTTAACTCTTGCAGACTTTCACACTTTGTTGCATTTGTTCCAGGCTTTGTCCCCCTTTGGAAAAAACATTTCACAGTATGTAGATGCATCAGTCTTGTGAGTCTTGTGAACTGCCATGTCTGTGGGCATGTTCTTGATGCATTTCATGGCTTCACAGTTTATCTCCAGTTGGATCCCTAGCAAAAATATCTTTATTCATTGTTCCCATCCAATACTTGACAATGTTGACACAGCAAGGGATTGAACAACGACTAAATGGGATTGGTACACCCGTGGTTGATAAATTTTGGGTATGATAAACAGTGAATTGAATTAATTCAAATGAAAGGCATCCTTCATTGGGGACGCTGCTGGTAAGAGCTGTAAGCAGCTGATTTCATCACTTGAACAGGTGAAGCCTGAAGAGGCGCCGCAGAGATCTGCTCATCCGTGGACTTCCTCGGGGCTTCCCCAATCATTATAATGATTTTAAAAAACCTGCAGCAAATTAACATAGACCCTGCCAGATAGGGGTTGGAAGATTAGTTTCCACTATAAATTGGTGATTTTCAGGGTCTAGGTTAATTTACTCAAGGGTACTATAATGAAATATATTCTCATAATCAGCATATACAACAGTATTACAATGATATCCACATCACATCGTAACATATCGTAACATATGTCTGGATCATGTCGATATATATATATATGTATATTTATGTACATATATATATATTTATGTGTATATATATATATATATACATCGATTATATGTCGATTATAGTCATTCAAGTTGCGTGAGAGGAAAGTAAAGCTGAGATATGGAGTGAATGGTCGCAATTCGTTTAAAGGCTCTCGACAGCCACGGCATAATTTTCAGGCTTTGATTTTTCACTCAATCCGGTTCGAAAGAATGCAACCTCACGGTCACAGTTTGAAGCTGTTGGATTCTACTCATCTGTGCCTTGCATTGGCAGAGGCCGACTTCGGCTTTGATGCCCCAACCAAGGTGGGCTGAAGATGAAGCACAAGAAGATCCAGAATAGCATGCTAGTACTCGTAAATACTCGTAAATACTCGTAAATACTCGTAAATACTCGTAAATACGCGTAATACTGAACGCGGCAGTCAATCACTTTAATCGTTGTTATTCCTGAAATTGAGTGGACATGTTATTCGCTTTGTAGATATTTGTAGGGGGAGACCTGATTCACATGAGCGTAGTGCTGCTTTCAAACCCATAGACAGATTGACAGGTGCCAAGCAATACTCTCTCAGCGCCATCTCCTAAGGCAGGGAGTTGATGAATTGACAAACTTCTCGACCTCTCACCTCTTTTTTTCACTGATTCTGTGAATCCCTCATGATGAAACAAGGTAGGGATGCTGTGAGCACTGGGCAAGTATCAAGCCATATCAAGGCACACTAGGTGATACTGTGATATTTTTTCATTTTTTCAACATGATTCAAATTTGGACTTTTTGACCAACAGATGCTTCACGACCTGTCAGGATGCTGGATACCCTGAGGAGGAAGTACTACAACGAGGCTGGGCTGTCCGGGCTGTCCGGGCTGTCCGGGCTGTCTGGGCCGGGCTGTCATGCTTGGACCCAGGAAAAGGCCATGCAATGCCGTGATGATCAATCTTCAATCATCAAAATACGCTTTAAATACGTTCATACAATCACAGACCTTTGGAACCCTTGGAATCCAAAGAATGTGAGGATGCCTCTCCTGACCCTTGTCAAGTCCATTTGACAAGCTCTCGTGTACGCGACTGTGCATTTGCCATGAGAAACTGGGCTTCCCACCTCTCGGGGTTCTCAGCTGCATCATGCTGCATCATCATTTCATATTGTTTCGGATTGTTTCGGCCCAGGCAAGTCAGCACCTGCTGTGGTCCGGGAACCTTCTGGGTTCAAATCAGCTAGTCTTTGCAAACATGAAAAAACTCGTAGAAAAAATCATCCAAACTCATCCAAGCTCTTGGAAGTGATGCTTGTTGAAACATGTTGAAACATGAATTTTGAAATCCAACTTGACACAGAAACCAAACGAAGCGGCCTGAGGTCACTCACACGAAGCCATCTGCCCCTTCTGTGCCACATAGCCACGTGTGGAGTCCAAGGAAATACAAGTGTGACAACCCTTGACGTTATAATAGTTATAATAAACGGTAATATAGAAATATTAATATAGTAATCGAAGGAAGTTTAGAAGTCAAACTTCCGACAATATGGACAGATGAAAAGCAGAGCAGGGAAGAGGCAGAGAGAAGAGAAAGATTAGAAGAAAGAAGAGTAGAAGAGAAAGAGCAAGAAGAAAGAAGATGCAGATGCACGAAAAGGTAGGAAAGTCGCGGAACGCTGTGTTTTTCCAATGATTTGTGGCTCCAGAGGGTCGAAAAGTAGGCTCGCTAAAGCGGCGGGTGCAGAGCCATCTGGCCAGATGAGAGATGAAAAATTGCACGCCGTTGTGGCGCGAAACACATTTGCAAGTGAAAAAGCTAAAAGCACCTCACGTTCGGACCACTTTTGGAAGTTGCGATGTCGAAAAAAAGCACGCCGTTGTTGCGCGAAGCAAATTTCGAAGTCAAAATGTCCAAAGCACCTCAGCGTCGGACCACTTTTGGAAGTTGCGATGTCGAAAAAAAGTGCACGCCGTTGTGGCGCGAAGCACATTTCGAAGTCAAAACGCTAAAACACCACATGTTCGCGCCACTTTTGGAGGTTCAGATGTCGAAAAAGTGCACGCCATTGTGGCGCGAAGCACATTTCGAAGTCAAAATGTTAAAAACACCAGGGGTTCGGACCACTTTTGGAGGTTCAGATGTCGCTTCGCTTCGCTTCACTACACTACATTACACTACGCTACACTACACTCCACTACGCTACACAACATTACACTCCACTACACCCCACTACACTAAATTACACTACACTAAATTACACTACACAACACTACACTACATTACACTACACTACACTCAATTACACTACACTACACTACCTTCCACTACACTTCACTACATTACACTACACTACATTCCACTACACTACAACTACAACTACAATTAGAAAACTACACTCCACTACACTACACTACATTACACTACACTACATTACGCTTCCTTCCACTACACTTCACTACATTACACTACACTACACTACGCTTCCTTCCACTACACTTCACTACATTACACTACACTACACTCCACTACACTACAAATACAACTACACAACTACACAACTACACTCCACGACACTCCACTAAACTCCACTACACTAAATTACACTACCCTACACTACATTACACTACACTCCACTACACTACATTACACTACATACACTACACTCCACAAGACTACAACTACAACTACACAACTACACTCCACTACACTCCACTACACTAAATTACACTACACTACACTACATTAGACTCCACTACACTACATTACACTACACTACACTACCTTCCACTACACTTCACTACATTACTCTACACTACACTACATTACACCACACTACACTGCATTCCACTACACTTCACTACACTACACTACATTACACTACACTACATTACACTGAATGACACTGCACCACAGATAGATAGGTAGACAGATAGACAGATAGATAGACAGATAGACAGGTAGACAGCTAGACAGATAGACAGATGAAAGCGAGAGAGAGAGAGAGACAGACAGACAGACAGACAGACAGACAGACAGACAGACAGACAGACAGACAGACAGACAGACAGATAGATAGATAGATAGACAGACAGATAGATAGATAGATAGATAGACAGACAGATAGATAGACAGATAGACAGATAGACAGATAGACAGATGAAAGAGAGAGAGAGAGAGATAGATCGATAGATAGATAGATACATAGAAGAAAGGTAGGTAGGTAGACAGTCAGAGAAAGAGAGCGAAAGAGAGGAGACCTCAAGCACCTTTCGGTCCATCAGTGGATTTGCTCTGCCATCCCTGATTCACAACAACCAACCTCTCCTATAGGTTTCCTATTTTTGAAACTTCCGCCACCGCCTTGTGCGGTACTACTGGTAAGCTATAATAAACTTTTAAACTGTAATACAGTGTTAATGAGGTCTTAATGAAGTGTTAATACGCGTCATATCAGGTGAGGTAGTTCTGTCGCTCTGGGTCACCTCATTTGGTTGCCTCTTTGAGCTCGAGGTGGTGCGCAAGGCGGATCCTGCTGTGATAGCAGCAAAGCCTACAGGCCGGAAGATTGTGGAGTTACATACTAGTATCTATAGCCTATAGCTATAGCCTATAGCTATAGCCTATAGCTATAGCCTAAAGTATTTCATATAGGTACATACATACATATTACAATATATTATAGCCACATAGCCTACAACTATAGCTGTACTATAGCGGTACTATAGCTGTACCATAGCTAGTGGAACATACACAGGGGCTACTGGGGACAACTGGAGAGGAGGTCTCTTGGATTTCCAGGGTCTACCGGCGTCTAATGGTCCACTAGTTTAAGAACATTTGAGAAATTTGAGAACGATCAACAATTGGTCAACGCTGAAGAACATAGCAGCTGTGGCGGAAGGCTTTGTGCCCGGTGGCAAACAGATGGCGAAGGAGATCGACTTCGATTTTGACTTTGACGACCTTGAAACTGAGGCCGATCAGAGATCAGAACATCAGAGAGATGCCAGCTGGAGCCAGCTCTACGCTCCAAAAAGATCTACGAACATCCTAGAATCAGAAATAATCCGAAGAATCATTGATGAAACCTATGAGAAGATGATCACAAGGTGACATGTCATGACATTTGAAAGACTCGCATACAGAACATCCTCGGATTTCAGGCAGAACACACATTTGGGTTTGTCCACAAATGGAGTGTACAGTATAATAAGCCCATATGGCACCTGCAAACCATTTTAATGGAGACACTTATGCAACACAATGCAACGAATATATAGGACTATACTTATGGCATTTATCCATTTTTTCTGTATTGAACAACCTTTGACAGATTGACAGCCAGTATATAAATACCAGTCAATCAATTTCAATACCAATCAACTCAAAATCACAATATAAATATAAACCATATATCTCTATATATATATATACACAGAATGGGTTTGCCAATTTGTTGATTTTCGCAGACCTAGGCCTCAAAGCCAAAGCCGGCGCCCGCGCCAGCACCAGCCGCGCCGACGCCAGCGCCTGCACCTGCGCCTGTCCCTGTGGGGCCCTCATTCCACACTTTCCATCAACAAAACTGTGCATATCATGTTTATTATATTTTATTATTGTGTATGGCAATGTATATTATTGATTATTACATGTTTATTATTGTGTATGGCAATGTATATTATTGATTATTGCATGTTTATTATTGTGTATGGCAATGTATATTGTTGTTTATTATATTTTATTATTGTGTATGGCAATGTATATTATTGATTATTACGTGTTTATTATTGTGTATGGCAATGTATATTATTGTATATTATGATGTTTATAATGTATTTATAGAGTGTATGTATGATTTATGTGTCTATATTGAGTTTTTCCACCAGTTTTCCACCGCATTCTGTTTCTTCACTAGTTGGCTTTCGTTAGACTTCATTGATTTCAAGACACAATCTCTTCCACATGATTCCTTTGAAGGCTGTACGGGTGCAGTCTGCCGGTGCTGAGCAAAACGGAGCCAACAAATTCGCAAACAGGAAGGCACCGGCTTCAGCACGCTAAGCAGCTCCTAAGTAGAAGCATCAAGCCAGCACCGTCGAAAGAATTCTTGGAAAATCTTCAGAGTCGACAGAGTCGACCAGGGCATTTCCTCTTCAGACTTCTTCAACGAGCCCTAACCTCAGATCCGAAGATTGAGTCCACACAGCATGAGACTTCGGATGATTTGTTAAAGCATGACATGTTAGAAGACTCCCTTGGCGCTCTGAAGCAGTGCGCAAGTGGCAACGGCAAGATGAATCTCTTGTTTTAATTCCCCCAAACACATGAGGAACAGATGGCCCAAGCTCAATTCATATCAGACGGTCAAGCGGATTTCTTTCAGAATGTGCTTTCCTATGCTTTCCTCAGTGAGTGTCAGAGGATGGAACCAGAATCCGCGCAGCAAAGATTGGATCGGGAAAACAGGCCCTGAGGGCCTGAAGCGGCAGAAGCGGAGTATTACTCTGTGTGGGTTGAACTATGAACAGTTGTTGAAAGTAACTTTGAACAGTTGTTTTCACTTTTTCATTCCACCTTTTTTTAAAGAAATACGTTCTTCATTTTTGTTTCATCATTTTCCACCTACATCCTTTTACTCTATAATTATTACTCTCTATTGGGCGATATTCGGAAGCGATGGAATGTGTGATTCTTGCAGATCAACACGAGGAAAGCTGGGATCATCACAGTTGCAAGATTGCGTTTGAACGCCCTTTGTGAATTGATTACTCTTAAGAGTAGTGCATCGATTTTGATACATGACAGATCTTGACTGCATGTCGCAGGTTCAACAAGTTTGCTGCTGCTGGTGCCATTTCATCTGCGAGCAACATTGATGCATTCAGTTTAAAACTCTCCCATGCCGTCTTTGCCCATTTTTGAGCGTTTATTGCACGGTGTTTTGTTGTGTACTTCTAGCAAGTTCGCAGATTTCCTGAAATCCAAGGCTACTTTGGAGACGGAGATGAAGACATCCAGCCTGCCAGTCTTGTTTCCGGAAACTGTGAACTGACATGACTGGTGCTTCGGTGCTTCCCGTTGGTATACCAATCGTTGATCTTTCAGAGAGACAGCTCGCGGCTTATCTTGTTTGAATGGGTATTTTGTTTTCAGAGAAAGTGTTGAGATAAGACAGAAAGGAAGCATGAGTGATTCATCATGAGTGTCATGAACATGATTTGGGGCACTTGAAGGCAGATATAGGCAGATGCACACACGAAATTTGGTGTGACATGTGTGACAGGAACAACACTGAGGATATTTCTGTGTGGAGCTCAATTCGATCCAAGCTCGGCATCCGGCTCCCGGCGAGAGAACATTTCTCCGTTTCGGTTTCTCCGTTTCTCCCCAAAGGTGCGGAATATCATGGAATATCTACCAGCAAATAATAGCAAAATATAGCAAATATCCAATTCAAATGCAATGACAGGTTGATGAGTTGATGAGAGTGAGTTGATTGTTGTGGCGGGGGGTTTCCGGCACATGGCAAGTTTGATTTTGAGACTGTCGAACTGCTGAGTCTTTGGCATCCCTGGCAGCGGGTCGTGGAGCTGAAATGGTCCGAACGCACAGAGGAACCGAGGAAGCTGGAGAAACCAAAAAGGGCGAAACATGGACGAAATACATTCAAATAACATGACAAATTGGATACGAATGGTCAGTTAGTGAACATTAGTGAAAGAGGATGAAAACAGATGAAATAAACGGACAAACTACGCGAAAATGGCGATAAACACATTGAAATTCGATGAAGATGCGTTCAAATCCTCTGGTGCTTGAAGAAAATGATTCCTTTCGGTTTCCGGCATGCCAAAGAACAACGTGACATGTCTGCAGTGCTACGGTTTAAAATCTATTGATCTTGTCTCTTGTGTGATTTTGTATTGATCTTGTCATTTTCTGCGTTCGGTTTTCTATTGGCTTTGCCGATCTTTCAGGCCAGAACTGGTTTCGCCAAGGGGGCCGAGATGCTCACGGAGTGACGCTTGTGTTCACACTTTTGTCAGGTGTTATTGGCTGTTGGTATGTTATTGGTGTTATCATTGTCTGCACTGGAATCATCTCGGTGTGAAACGGACAAATACAGCAAAAAGTCAGCCACCATTGCATGCTGTTGTGCCTGAAAGTGACACTGGTCGATACTTTGGCATTGATCCTTCAGCTCCAACGGGCTCCGCGAATGGACAAGAGAGTTATTCGAGATCTGAACAACAAATCAAACAATGTCTAATGTTGTCTCAGCATTTGGTCATTTGAAACCTTGTATTGTGATGTATTCAACACCGTGTCACACGAGGCCATAAATCTACATACCAGTACACACTATTCTTTTGTGACATTCTGTGACATTGCATCTCATGTTTGTTATATTGTTCTTATTTTGTTCGATATATATATATATATCTGGTGTCATCTTTGGAGGTACCTTGCAAAGGTAAGGGACTGAGGGCGAGCAGCGCTGAGAAGGCGCAACATAGGCCAAGTCGGCACACTGACGAAATCAGACAGAAACCACAGGAAAATTAAATGACATGGCATGGAAGAATTCAATGCATCATGAAACATATGCCATTTGTTTGTTTTCAAAACTCAAAAAAAACATAGCAACACATAGCATTTGCACATTCTATGTGAACTCCCCATGGCATTGGCCAAGAGGTGATTGAAACTTAAGTGCTGGCTTGCAGGATTGCTCGATTCATCTGTTGACACTTGAAATCCAGATTCGAAGAGTTTCGAAGAGTCGAAGATAGAAAACAGATGAAAACAGTGAAGCTGGAAAATATCCTGAGGAAAGCATAAAAAAGCGTTCTTTCTGCTTCAAAAGGTTGTTTATGGCTGCACAATTCCAGTGTGTGTTTCAACACTTGCCAATACTTTGCGACTCACGGATGAGTCGAGCGAAAGCATATGAACTCCGTGGACGGTCTAAGGAACCGTCCAAACCGCGGACCAAAGTCACACTGTGACACATCTCACAAATGTTGGAGAAATGTTGGACAAATGTCACAATGGCAAAAGCTGTTGGAGGACTTCTCAGGTCGCAGAGAGCCTCTTAAGTGGATGGAACATGATGGAACTGGCATCGAAAGATCAAATTGTTCAATAAGACAAGACAATCCAACTTGCTCTGGGTCAAATTGTCCGAGATCATTTTAAGGGGCAGAATGTGACAGACTTTAAATTCTTTTGGTTTAACATGGTTTAACATCTTCATATGTTGGACCACTAGGATGGTGCAGGTTCGTTTCAATAATGCGGCGAAGCGGTTTGTTTCGTGGTTATGAGTTATGAGTAGTCCAAAGCATCAGCTTCTAAAGTCACTCACTTTCGGGATCTTTCGGGCAACTCAGAGGGAGCTATGCAGATGATATCACCATCCAAAACCGGGGGTCTTCCATATCGGCGACGTAAAAATCCGAGGCTACTGATCTGAGCTCTGCTCCGGTGTGCACTGTGTAGCAGAACGTGGCCAACATAGACAACATAGACAACTTCAGAACCGTCGCGAATCACTGAGGAACCCAAGTCTCATGGTACGACAAAGCTGCCACTTTGATAAAGGGTGACAGCAGATGACCATTCAAAGTAAATTCAAATCATTCAAATCGTTGCCTTTTGGAGTTTTGCGCAACAATGCACGACTCTGTCTGCGCAACTGCCAAGGCAGTCGCTGCTAGAAGGATTTGTTCGTTTTCCAGCGGCGCCGCTTGCGCTGTGCACCTTCAGACGCATGAACAAGAAGCTTATTGGAAAAATATTGGAAATACTACATGCACATCTTGTGAATTCTTGTGATACTGTATGCATCTGTATGCCATTCCTCATCATTCCTCTGTGGAACTGGTCATACCTGCATGCAGCTCCCGCATTAGAATTTCTTTCATGTTCAGCGAGCTGTTGGTTGCGTGCTTTGCATGATCCAAAAAAAGAGGCGCAGAGCTGCTGAGAATGTCTGAAACAATTGGCTACCACACCCTCTCTTTTGTGTATTTGTGGCTTCCACAACGGCTACCTTGGAGTCCAGTGAAAGACCACACCCAAAGAGGATCGTTTGGAAATGTTTGGAAGATGTACAGAAATGGTTTGACTTCGAATCACCTATTTGGCCTATTTATGCCGGAGGCATCCGCAGGCTGCTATTTTGGTAGTTGCCATGGAGCGAAGATCGAACCACACAGGTGTCCAAGTTCTTGGATTCAAAGCTACATGAGCTACATGGGTCGCTTCCAGATGCCTCGGAAACAAGTTCTTTCCTTCAGTTTTCAGCGAGACCCAAGGAAAGCTCGGACTGTTCGAAATGTCACATCAGCACATTCAGGGACTTTACTATACGTATAGCAATCTATATAGCAATGTATAGCAATATGTCACATATGATGTCTTTGCCTCAATGAAGACACATGAAGACGGCGGCTAAGATTATCAACGTTTGATTGAACAAACACAGATAATCCCAGCGCGAGCTGATGGACATGCCTAGCTGAAAGGACGATGCAATGGAAGGGTGGTGGAACTGTGGAACTTGTGCCTCTTTGTACATCTTTGTGTCTAATGGAAGAGGAAATAAGCCTCACGCCATTTTGCACATTTCCTATCAACTACTACCACTGCACACTCACTACACTACCATGCTTGAAGAGATCAATGACCCAGAAGACATGTTTGACATCGAGTTCGCATCGAATTTTCTTTTTGGCTTGACCAATCTTGATCATTTCAAAGCATTGCTGTCTTCTGTGCCACTTCGACGTTGTAGCAGGATGAGACGTCGTCCACAGGTGGGGTGACCAGCATCCGGTCTCGATTGGTTTTTCAGCTGCGATACGGGAGTCCCAATAAAATTTGACAGAACATAGGAATGATAGAAATGATAGAAATGATAGGAATGATATTAGGAATGGACAAATGATGAAACCGACGAGATCATGAGATCCTTCATGAACGGATCCTTCAAATTTTTGGGCCACACGCAGGCGGCCGGTGCTGCCAAAGCTCTGGCGCGCCCGGCACCACTTTGAATGTTGACGGAGTCTGAAGTGGTCTAGATGGAAATCATTATGACAACATATTAGAATTATGTATCATCATATAGTTATATAATGTTATATACAGGCCATAGATTCGTTAATTATAGATGTCAAGCGAAAAGAGGCAGTGACAAGGATATGTCATCAATATTGATATTAAAGATCAAGCGTGCGCAGAAAGCAGCTCATGGAAACTACTTTACAGGTAGCATTCATCATTTGGAGAGATACTTTGCCATGTTCCCAAACTTTATGGGCTTTTTTAGTTCGCTTCCGAAAGAGTTCTCCTGGATTTTCTTTCACTGATGATACACTATGAGGAGCAATCCATCTACGGTCAGAGTGTTGTGGCTCCAATTGTGTGGGATGTTACAGACACGACACCCTTGTGAAGGTGCAATATCACAATGACTTCAATGAGGCTCAGAAAGAGGCACCGGGTTTAGCGCAAGGTTCTGCCAAGGCCATTGCTGACGCTTGTGGCAGACAGTGGGTAGACATATTTTGATCGATGAGCGAAGACGATCAACGTTGAATCAGGTTCAACAGGTGCTTGTTTCATTTCGTTTCAATGATTTCTGTTTGAGGCCACATGTCCTGACATTCACCTATCAACAATTACAACGCACGACATGAATTCACCAAGGCAAAGGCTCCAAAGTCTGCACCAAAGGTGCGACAAGCTGAGGTGCCTTGCACTTGCCAATTTGAAGTGTCCTTGTTCTGTGTCTATCAGACGAAGGTTCAGGGAGTACAAAATCAAAAACATTCTAAGAGACTTGTAATTCTTGGATATTCTTGGAAGGCCTCAGGATTTGAATTTCTCTTTTAATTCCTTCTACAGTAGAATAAGAACCGCCGGTGTACAGGAGCCACAGACACCAGAGAAGGGAAGCAGGTGCTATGAGTGCCCAAGCATGCCGCCATCATGTTGCGCACCCCGACATTGCCATTATCATTTGATTACAAGATTTGGATGGCTGGGGCTGACGGTACAGGTCCTGTTCGCTTTGGAAAAACAAGATTTGGATACTGTAGATTTGGATGATTTTGATGATATGGATAGGGCAATAAGAAAAGATCAACAAGTCGCCTTTGATGGCCAGTTTTACACGAGAACCATGTGATACAGAACCTTCACAAGATCATTCCCACATCTCAGCGTAGCCTGATGTTACCCGGGAGGCCTACTTCTCCGTCGCCAAAAAGCAAGGCAGGTGCCAAGGCGCTCACTTCCGCCAAAGCTCTACATGATTTGTGCTCCTATCCACCCAATGAGGCAACGAAACGCAACAAAGCAACAAAATGTATCAAAATGTAACAAAATTCAACAAACTCTGCACTTCAAACCTGAAGACTGGACATGTGGATATGATGGGATATCGGATGATATTATGATATATTATGGACATCACACGTTTGTATTTGACAGAGAACTTGGTGCCCTTTCACGATCTGAGTTTGTGGGTCTCCAAAGCCATTTTTGGGCTCCCACCAATGCGGCGCATATGCGAACTGAGCACTGAAGATTTCGAGGTTCGAAAGCTGTCGCTGTGCCGCTCAGATTGTTTAAAAAAGTTGTGATGTCGAACGTAAAAGGTGTTGAAGCCGCATGTGAGCTCCTAATGTGAGAGCCCAGTGCTGTAACAATGTTTGTGTACGTGTAGGTGTGTCATAAATTTTGTCGCTGTGTAGGAGCCAAACGAGAAAGCGTGGAATGTGGATCGGATCCAGCAGCTTGACGGAAGCGACACAAAAAAACCTCCTGGGACATCTGGGACATCGACACCAAGTTGGGTCATCATTTGGCAGAAGAACACCACCAGAAACGTACAAAACAATGCAAAACGTGCACTTCCCCATCAATTGGTCAAGCAGTATTTTAAACACCTCTTTTGTGCATCATTGAGGTGTTGGGCAGATGCTTCTGATGGTGAGGATGAACAAATCTTCAGATCCTTTGCAGCAAATTTCCAGATCTCGCTTTCACCAATGTCCCTTGAGTTGGCAAAACATTCCAACACGTGCAGAAACATGTTGGATTTGTACGGATTGGTCATATTGGTCATATTTGGTTTCCAGTTTTGAGAGTCTTCCTATCTTTGATTTTTGAATGGACTCCAAGGGCAAAGAGAGGTACGACGACCTCGAAGACAGAAACGTTACTTGTCTGATCCTGTCTGCATAGACATCATATGATGGCTTCGTAGCTTTGTAGATCTTGAAGACGCAACAAAATGCAGAGGGCATGATCTTCAGTGCAATTCAGATTTATATAGTCTAAATTCACCCTATCCAGTTGCCATTCAACTTCCAGCAATGCTAGTATAATCTTCACTTCTTGCTCGCAAAAACAGGGTGTTTTTCAAAATAAAACTGCCCCACTTGGGGCAGGACTTTGGGATACTTTGGGTCTTTCAGATTCTTTCAAATTCTTTCAAATTCTTTCATGTCGTTTGAAAACGTTTGAAACACGTGTGGAGCTGAGAGCTGCGAGGCATCTACTCTCGGAGTCTCTTCCTCCAAGCGAGGCCGCCAGGAAAGCGGCAGCCTGGGCAACTCACGACACGAAGGCACCGGGAGTTCCGGCTCGGTGGGCCCCCCTGGGGTGTGCTGTGCCTTTTGGAAGTAAAGTGCGCAATGGGAAAATAATTTATACAAAATATTACAAACACATTTCAGATCTCAGGAAAAGAATTCCAAGCCTTGATTCCCATGTCCCCCGCTTCATCAACTTCCTTCTTCTGAAGGCAGTTTTGTAGAGCTCTTTTCTGCTACCTTGCTCGATACCTCTGCTTTCGACATAGTTGACACTTTGCAGATTTTCTTCCCACTTGTGGAGAGCTGTCACTTTAGCCCTCATTGGTCCTCTCCAGGGTCGACGAGTTGAGCTTTCCAAAGTGCCTTGTCAGAGATTGTGGACACAAATTGGCACATGCGCTGCATGATTTGTTGCGCACTGTACCCTACAAGTCTTCAAGCCTAATCTCTTTTGTTTTGATTATTAACCTCTCAAGACAATGCGTAGATACAAATACAAATGCTCAAAATAGTTTCGAAACCATAAGCACCAGAGGAGGCATCTCTTGATATTTCTTGCAGTGTTTTACAAATCTTCACACATCTTCACAGTGCTTTGCATTTCTTTCCATTTCTTGCCGGTTGTGCGTATTTGTGCGTCACCAAAGGCCGGCAGTTGAGCAGATCCAGTTCTGCATCAAGCCAGGCCAGGAGTACGATGAGTACGGAATCCAGAAATGTCAAGCGATGTCACAACATGTCACTCATCTTGGCTCTAAACAGTTCTAAACTACAGTATTCTAAAAAATCAAACTTGGATTCATGTAAGACTGAGAAAATCTGAGAAGGATACACAACACACATACTCCACATCATTTCTAGAAAAGCACCTGAGCACATTACAATATGACAATGTGTACAGCCATGGTTGGTTCACAAGGATATTCGCAATGAGCTCAATATGTATATAACATTATAATGCATTATATAACTTATATAACTGTATATGGAGGATTTTAATGCTGGAGATCTTGTTGTGAGACCATGGAAGTCGCACTTTGCCTTCTCAGGTGCTGTGCACTTCTACGACCCCGCCTTGGCTGCGACTGCCTTTGAGGTCTGGGGGGCGATGTGGGCTTCAGGACATGACTCAACGATTTTTTGATTCAAGAAATCACAAAACATGTTTGATTTTGATTGGAAGTTTTCGACTTTTTGATACTTTTTCTACATTAAACAGAAAACGACGACAGTGACGAAAACGACGAGTTTTGTTTTGAGTTTTTGGAGTTTTGGCAAAACGCGTTTTGAATGTTTGGAACGCGTTTCCCTCGGCGAGGCAGTGCTTTCCTGGCTGGAGCCTGGCATCGCCCAGGCATCGTTTCTCGGCAGCATTTTTTCTTTTCACTTTTTGTATGATATATTGGTATATGTTATAATTATATGTAGCTGTTTTTTGGTGTTGATTGAAATGTTTAAAGACCTATTAGAACTTTTCTATTTCGTTGTATTATAGGTATTGTACTGATTGTAGTGATTGTAGTGATTGTAGTGATTGTAATGTGCATTTAACAATATTTAATACGGCGACAGTTCTCAGTATGTCAAGATGTTTGATGTTTAAGTCTTGGAAGTGATGAACATGATGAAGCATGATGAAACATGATGAGTCATTTTGAACATTTTATGAACTACGATTAACAATGATGAAGATGTTCTCGGGTCAAAGACTGCAGATTTCGAGACGGTAGCAACTTGTGTCGCTGAGGTGGACTGAGAAAGGATTGGAGGAGCTGCGTGAGACCAACGCCACAACACTGAACAACTGCGCACGCAACTGCGCACGCAACTGAATCTGCTGCAGTTCTTGGTTTGTTCTGAAAACAACTTTGAGACAGTCCGAGCAGGAGCATTGGAGAAAGCACGACATTTTTTCACATGTAGCATCATGTAGCAATACAATGCAATACAGACAGACCCACAAAAGTATACAAAAGTGACACTTTTCATCACACCATGAAGAACGCATTTGCAGAGGCATTTGGAGTACCAAACAGGAGACCCAAGTGGTGCTGCATAACAATCACCTTGCACAAATTGTTCTCCTTTCACGCAGGAGGACTCGAGTGAACGCGAAGAAGTTCGAGCTGCAGAGTGTGAAACGGAGGACATTGCAACGCGTTGGGCAACAAGTTGTAACACTTTGTAACACTTTGTAACGCAATGATACGCAATGCAGGGATAGCATCCACAGGAGGAGACCTCTGACGAGAGCCCAGGCTCACTTGAGGTGGGCATGGAAGACAAAGACAGCAACCGAGAGCAGACCGTAGCAGACCCTAGCAGAGTGTATGAGTAGATTCTGAGTAGATTCATATCCGAGTCACTCGGAAAGCCAAACTGTTGGATTTTGAGGACACGAAGACACGAAGGTAATATTATGTAATATTATGTAATATTGATAAATATTGTATTTTACGTGTCACATCGTGTCACATCGTGTCACACTGTGACTAGGAAACACCAATTTTTCAGAATCCTGTGGCAGACTCTGCACCTTGGACGAACTTACAGTAGCAGCTTACATCCTTGTACCATCGTATCGTTTAATTTTTGAATTTGTGGCAGATGCAAAGTTCAACATCGTTCAACATTTCCTTTCAACATTCCCTTTCAACATTCCCTTTCAACATTTCCGTTCAACATTTCCGTTCAACATTTCCTCTCAATATCTTTCAATAAGGCACAAGAAGGCACAAGTCTCTGGTTTCGCTAGGGATACATGAGTGATACACCTCCCAGCTGTGGCATCCGTCTGCGGCAGATCTCTCCAACCCGCTGGTGGCCATGGCTTTTGATTTGGGCGTTGCTACTGCCCTTTGGCCGAAGTTTGAGGCCAAAGTTTCCATACTGAGAAGTTGACGTTATTTTTTCATGTTTTTCTCAAGAGGTTGACTCTGTTGACTCTCCGACTTTCTAAGGTTTCTAAGCTACGTTTTGCAAAAGCCCGCGGTGCAAGCGGCAAGGCATGCTTTGTGTTGCAGATTGAAACAGGAAAATCGGCTCAGCATGCTCAGCCGTAAAATGCAAAGACACCGATACAATTCCAAACATAGAATAGCAAGTGAATCGTGTGAGAAGGGACGTAGGCCTCGCCACTCTTGCCACTCTTGCCACTCTTGCCACTCTTGCAACTTCCATAGAGGCCCAGCGCGAGCTTTGCAGATCTTGGACTGAAAACTTGACAAAGAAAAAAAATGACAATTGGAAGATTTGGAAGCCGCATGATCTCTCCCAATTCTCCCATGACCGCGTGCAACACATACCTGCAAGGTGCAGACAAGCAGTTCAACTATGCATAGCTCTCTCTCTCTCTCTTTTGTATATGTTGTCGCAACAATATGATGATATAATATAAATATACACTGTTTGTGTGTATACATAATACATGCTATGTATAAGCTTCTATCAATTTATGATTATATGAATTATACGTGTACATGGATGATGCAGACTTGAGCATCACTTAAAAAGAACAGTTTCCAACCAGTTTCCAACTCTTCCATGTTGAGTTTTGTTGTGTTCGGCTTCAAGCCACGGCATTTGGGAGAGCTTTGCAAATGGAGCTTCAAGAGGCCCAGACATAGAACGGTGCTTTGGATGTGTTCCTCCCGAAGATGTTGTGATTCATGTTCACAATACTGGGATATACTGGGTATGTTTAGCAATATTTTGCAAAGAGAAACAGTTTTTTTTTTATTTAAATGTTTGTCTTCTTTTGCCTTTGCTGATCTCAGGGTTATGAGCGAACCACCAACTCCCCTGGACCTAAGTTTCTGCGGCAGCCTTGCTGCACGCACGTTGTGAACGTCGTTGCCGAGAGCTGTTTGAGATCGACGTTAAGTTTGGTAATTCGGTGGCAAAGAAAGTGGAAACGATTTGAAAAGGACGAAGCATTATAAAGGAAGTTGATAAATCAAGCAGAACTCCAGAAATGCTTCCTGTCGCAAAGTACCCGTAGTTTGATAGATTGTATGGCATCTCACGCCCGACAAGAATGGTTTCCAAAAAGAATCTTGACCTGCTCAAATTAACATTAATTAGCTTCATTTAGCTTCCAAAGTTTATTTATGTACTTCCAACTTTGCCGCCTTGACAATCCGACGCTGCAAGTCTTGAGACCCTTGGAGGGTGCTCAACTTGTCAGCATAAATTTGACCGTTGCTCGGAGGTAGATTCATTTTGAAGATTTTTGAAGTCAATTTCTCAAATTTCTCAGCAGAAATGTTCCAACTGTGACGCCAGTGTTGGTAAAGGTGAGAAATGTCAAGCTGTATTTGCCGCCGGGCAGGCAACTGATTTGTGTGATGCCACCTGGCTGCTTTGGATCTGGAATCCATGGACATGTTGAACTGCTGCGATGAAGCCGAGATGCTTGTGATTGAAATCTCGCCTACCATGCCATTTCTTTCCATTTCCATGATCTTCTATGTGTTTGCCGGTGAGCATCAAGTTATTTTAGAAGTTGTATCATGGTGCCCAAGGTTGTACAGCCCCATGTCAGCAATCACGCCATTGCATGGGACCAATGGGCGCCCAGGAAGACCCAGTCTTCGTAATTTGGGGCCGCAGAGATTGTCTCTTTGCTGCTTGCACATTTTCGAGCTGCTTAGGGGATGTACACGCGGAACGAAGAAGCAACTTAATTTGGAGACTTCTTCGGAACTACTGATGGACGCTTGTAAGTGAATGAGTCATGAGCCAACCAAGCTTTGATGTGTCATGAATCTCTTGTCTTTTTTGGATTTAATTCAGGGGTTGTCACTCCGCCCACCTATCTTCAACCATTCTTGCACCCTTCATACGCCAGCCAAGCACACAGCTAAAGGGAAGCCGCCCAGAAAATCCCAAGAATGCCATGTCACAGCCGAAGAGCATTTGACTTGAAGTTGAATACTTTGAACATCTTTGAACAGTGAAACTGCAAGGAGAAAAGATGGAATTCAGAGATGTGCATCCCCGAATTGAGCTTCCAACACAGCTGGTGGGGGTACTTCCGGCTGGATGCAGATGGGCGGAAACGGATCCGAAATCAAACCGCTCAATATTGCAAGCCATGCTAGACATTCCAGACAAGCAAAAAGGTGGGTGGCAGTGCGTGGCAGTGCATGGCAGTGCGTGGCAGTGCGTGGCAGTGCGGAACCCGTTTTGTCCATCATGTTCAGGCTGCAATAAAATCAACAAATGGCAATCACGAAGCTCACAGTAACACCAGTAACACCTGAGGTAAAAGGCTTTAAATATGCTTTAAATCGTGTGCAAGGCGCCAAGTCCCAAAGTTCCGTCAGGACTCCCAGTAGATGTCAACGAACAAAAGAGATGTGCGATGTGATTCGATGTGATCCACGGCACAGTCACAGCGTTGTATGTTGACAGATGTTTTAAAGACATGTTTTTCATTTTTTTTCAAAATATTTATTTTTCTAATTGTTTCATATTTCTATCAAATTTCGATCAGATGTTTTTACAGTCACAGCATCAGACGGCAAGGACGGGGAGGCGGGCTCCGAACGCTCGACGGGTCACCGAGGCCCGCAGCAGCAAAGGAAAGCCCGGTGAAGCGGTGCGCTCAGCACGTGCGCGGCAGTCGCAAGGGCAGTCACAAGGCGGTAGAAACCTAGGAAGGATTAGGAAGGATTAGGAATGTTATGGAATGTTAACATTAGAAATCATGATTGATGATCAATCCAATATGTAGATTGATCTGGATTGATGCAGATTGTGTAGATGTTATTATGTTATTCTGATCGCTGAAGAGTCAAACAGAAGGTACCTGATTGATCCTGATTGATCAGAATTTGCTGATTGCCACTTGAATACCTGCGTGTACACCTGCAGCACATTGACACGTTTCCTTTGCCGGGATGGCTTGGCTGTTACAGACTTCTCTTAATCTTTTGACATCTTTTGACTATGTTTCACTGGTGGAGGATTCACTCAGATTCACTCAGTTTTTCACCTGTTTTCAGCATTTTTTTCAGCCATAACTGCCATAACTCAGTTCAACAAAAAGTTCAACTCAGTCGGAACTCGGCTGCCACTCGGCTGCCACTCGGCTGCCACTCGGCTGCCACTCGGCTGCCACTCGGGTTTCAGGTCGCCTCCAAAGGCTCCAGCAAAGGCTGGGACTCGTGGGGAAAGGTGTCGGGAGCGGCGGTTTTGTGTCAAGTCTTACAAGTCTTACAAGTCTTACACGAACAAAAAAATAATATCAATTATACATAATTATACCATATTATAATCACACACACACAAAATATACATAATATTATGATAAAGCTATGATAGTACAAATGACGATGGTATATGGTGAAGAAGCTCGGGTATGGTGCTGTCAAAGCTGGTGAATCCTCGAATCGGTTCATGTCACCGGTTCTTCAGGCGGCGAGCCCTCGGAGCAGGCGCTGCCGAAATGGGCCAAGAATTGGACACCAAATTGTCGCGGGGTTTGGTGAGGTTGACAGGTTGATGTGAAAGTTGATGTGAAACTAACACAAAGTCTGAGTGACAATGACCCGCATGCTTTCGCAGTCTCGCGACGTCACTTGACGTGCAACTCCTGCAGGACTCCAGAGGCAAAATCCCCGCCAGTGACACCGCGACCAGCCAGCGCAGGGGCAAAAGCACCTCCAGCTAAGGTCGAACAATGTGGACATGTATGGACATGTATGGACATGTAGTCAATGTAGTCAATGTAGTGTCGTCGGAACAGGTTCGATGCATTATGATGAATTGAGGATATTAAGGACATTAAGGTCTCACAATTGTTTCACAAGAGTTTCAGAACAATTTCATAGGGAGCCAACTCATCGCAGAAGAGTCCTCCTGCAGTCCTCCTGCAGTGTCCCGCTGTATTTGGGAATTTGAAACTTTGCTCAGCATCCAGGCTGCAAGCCCAGAAAGGCATTGGACAGGGCAGTGGACTACCACAGAACCGCAATGCAAAACAAATAGAGTAAGAAGACGTAAGAAGACGTAAGATGCAAACAAAAATAAAAACATCGGCAAATGAATAAACAGATTAAACCGTGTTTCTAGGATTCTGACCGCTTTCAGGATTGCAGTTCCTGGATTTGCAGATGTATGGTTTCAACAGTTTTAACATGTCTTAACGTTTATCACACATATCTTACCGGTGCTAATGACAGCACAGCTAGGCTTATGGAAGGGAGAGATGGGGTACGGTGCATCAGCGAAATCTACGAGGTTTAAAGGGCAGAGTCTTGGAGTGATCGAGAAAACAAATGAAACCGTTCTGTGACCTGGCGGTTCAGGCCTGCACGAAGCCCAAGTGAGGCCAAAGCGAAGGCGAAGGCGGGTGGATTTTGCGACGTCGACGACCGAGATATTTCGACAAAAACGCAGGCTCCAGCTCCAGCAGCTCCAGCAGCTCCAACAGCTGCAGCTCCAACTACGGCAACCAGGCAGCTCAGGGTGGCTCAGGGTGGCTTAGGACGGGAAGCGGAGGGAGTCAAGGATCTCAGGATCCCTGAGATCATGATCTGTGACGTTTAACTGTTTATCGACGGATCCACCGTATCAGGTTTTAGGTTTTCTATGGTTTTCTTATGTTTCTCATTCTTTTTCTGTTCCTTTCTGTTCCCGTCTTGTCATGTCTCACCAAGCGAAACACTTCTTTTTCTCTGTGTTTCTCTGTGCGAAGGGCAAAGCCTTCGCCCAGGGCCAAGGCAAGGTGGCATCCTGTGGCATCCCTTGGCTCCCTGACTCCACTTGGTGCGAATGAGTTAAGGGGCAAACACATGCAAAAAATTGCAAACATAAGAGAAATAATATTATACAATATTGTGACATCGTTCCATGCAGGATGTCTACCTGCAGTTTCATGTTTCTTCTCTTCGTCAGGGAAATGTATCCTTGACATATCTTTATATCATTTCATATCAATTCCTTTAATCTCCTTTAATTTCCTTTAATTTCCTTTACCATCTTTACCTTTTTCGAATCTTCCAACTTTGGTCTGTCAGAGCCAGGTCCCGCCGCCAGCGGAGCGCCCATCGCCACCAGCAAAGGCACCTGCGGCAGCGAAGTCGGGATCTCAGTCCGGATCCTGGGACGACTGGGACGACTGGGACGACTGGGACGACGGACCACGGCTCTTGATATTCTTCCTAGACATGTTGCATAGTTGCATATGATCTTAATATATCTTAATATGATCTTGATATTCTAATGTGTTTTTCGCATTTTTTTAAAACAACCTTAGCAATTTGCGAAGGGTTCCGCTGCAATTTTTGGAAATTCCACGCCAGTGCCATTCCAGAATTTCACCTGGTCGGAGAAAGCAATGCGGCACCGCGGCACCGCGGCACCGCGGCACTGAGGCCAAAGGGAGAGACTCCACCTGCCAAGGCCATTTCGAGATGCCAACATTAACAAACATGCCAACCAAAAATCACCAAAACATAGAGTTAGGTAATGCCAGGTGAAGCATGTTAAAACATGCCCGCTAATGAGGCCATTGAATTCCAAAGTAGCTGCAGCGATCCTGTGACACTGATTCAGATTGAGCTTGCAAATCTCATTTGTTTTTTTGTTCTGGTGTCTTGCCGCGCACGGTCTCAAATGTTGTGCAGCATTGATCTTGTCCTTATACAGTTTTTACATATTTGCACTCAAGTTAGTTCCAAGGTTTCCATCAGCTTGAAATATCAAAAGCTTTACTAACATCACTAACTTCACTTCGTTTCCATTGTAATCAGTTTCCTTCGACAAGTGCACTTGTGCTCTAGTAATGAATCGCTGACGCATTTCTTGCCATTTGATCATATTAGTCTTTGAAGGTTACTTCGTGGACGCCTAAGATCGCCTAAGCTTCACAGCTGCCAGAAATGGACATGTTAGCCAGTGGATGGAGAGACTTGTTGCGAAACTCTTGCATCTCCAGTCACAATTCTGGGATGGTGTCTACCATCTACGGAATCAAATTGTGGAAGACAATGAAATTTCGACGAAATCCGATAGTAAAAGCGTATGAAATCGTCATGACGGTGGCAATCGGCATGTGGCCAGAATGAGGCCTGCAGCCAAGGAGGCCAAAGAGGCGAAAGAGGCCAAAGTCAAGGAGAGCCCGCGCCAGGCGCTGCCAATCTTTCTGCTTTTCTTGGACATCAACAATCAGACCCTGGCAAACCCAAAAAGAACAGCAAGTAGAGCATTCAGCATCAAGCAAGATGACAACCGTAAGGATTGTGCTGGGAGGGAGTTTGTTACGTTTCTTAAAGATTTGATCAGATTTGTAGATTAGATTTGACGTTTCGGATATTTCGGGTTGTGATACTTCGTTGATCTTCGTGATGCAGGCTGCATCGCCCAAGGCGACGTCGGGCGACCCAAGTTGACAGGAGAGGACTGAGAGGACCATGACGTGCCACAGATCTGCCATAGCTTCTGCATGCGCACATGTCCACACTCTAAACATGTGAGACCTCTTATGACCTTATCTTCCTTTCGTATTGAACTCCGGCCAAGCTGCTGCGTCCAGAGCAAAATCAGTTTCACGGAAACAAGGCACACATAGGAACACCTTCTATCTTGATATCATTTGATAATTTTGATCTCAGGTTTCGAAAAGCACAGATACAGGGACTCACCACTCAAGCCGTGGACAATATCGGCACCTATCCGCACATTGGAAACGAGGCCTCGAGGAAAGGCAGAGGCAACACCAAAGGTGCCTCACTGTTGACGCACAGGGACCGTATGGGACAACGTCAATATGTTGGGTTGAGCATACGTAAGAACCAAATAGAACAAATCGTTCGCATTTGCCAATTTGCTGCATGGTTCGACAAATTGTCCTAGGATACCTTAGGATGTCACAGGTGACCCTCACAGCTGTTCTCTTGGCTAGGCTGCGCCCGTTCCTGCCTCGCCGGCACCGCAGTCTGGCACTCTTACAGTAGATTTTGAGAGGGCAATGCGTCCACACAAATTCTTTGGACAAAAATGGACAAAACATGTATAGACGTATAGATTGATATAGATTGTATAGATGAATGCAACATGTAGCACGTGTGCGTTCCAATTGCTGACACTTGGAACGTGATATGATGTGATGACAAGCTGTGACAAGCTGTGACAAGCTGTGGCTGTTACAAACTGCTTACAAGCTGCGGAAGCACAGTTGTACCGTGCCAATCGTGCCACTGAAACTTGCGGAAAGGAGCACAACTTCTCTGAGGCCTAAGGGCAAACCGCATGTCCCGCGTGTGGCCATGCTCGCAAAGGTGCCAAGATGTGCCAAGATGTGCCAAGATGTGCCAAGATGTGCCAAGATGTGCCAAGATGTGCCAAGATGTGCCAAGGCAAACGTCATCAAACGTCAAATGAATTCAAATGAGATGTTTCATGAGATGTTTCATATGATGTTTCATGATGTTTCAAGTTCCGGAAGATGTGGTGATTTTGTGTACTGGATTTGCAAAGAGTTGCGTCGATTCACTGGATGTGATAGAAGATGTTTGAAGAATGTTCGAAGGTATTTTCACTATGTTTCACGAGAATAGCTATCCCCGTAGGTCAAGCCAAAGCCGCCACCAAAGGAAGAGGAGGCGATTCTCGTCAAGTGCGTGTGTCAGCTCCATCAATTTGACGTCTGAAAGCATCTGAAAGCTAGTGCTACTTTCGGGTGAAAACTGCTGATTTCAACGAAAATAACTTTTGTATCCTTGAAATCTCCTCTTTTGCTTCCCTTCTTTCCCAATTTCCTTGCTGTGCAGAAGTGGCTCTTGTGTTCCGATGCCATAAGAGTCAGAGGAGCCAGAGCCCAAACCAAAACCTGTCACCAGGTGCTGAGCTGAGACAAGACAGATTGCCACATTGCCACTTTGTTGATTTTGTTGGACGATTCTGAGTTCGGATAGTTCGAATTCCCCAAACTGCTTTTAGGATCGTGTAGGATTTGCATCAAGTTGCTCAGTTCCAAGTGAGGGTATCCCTGCGTAGTCACCTTAGGTCACTGTATCCAGCCGCTCCAAGACGACCAGCAAGTACGTCCGGAGCTTGGGAGGTTCGAGATGTACAAGTTACATATAGTTATATCACTTATATCAAGTCATCGGCGAGCACTCGGCGAGGGCCACTCGAATTGAAACACCGAGGCCACGTCCACGTCAGCCATCTAAACAAAGCAGTGCGCCATCGGAGTCATCTGCAGGTGCATGGTGACTGGGTGGCCTCTCTGACACATCTGACACCAGGCTAATCCATTACTAATCCAGGCTAAAAGTGAAGGCTCGGCATTCAGAAAATTCAGAATGATCCCCGTGCAAATCATAGGAGGATTCAACAGGATTCAGCCCGGTCCAGACATTCACATTGGAAACTTTGGCTGAGATACAGTGAGATATAGTGAGATACAGATGTTTGACCACTGAATTTGTCTTCGCTGATAGAGTCTTCTAGTCTTCTATTCCAAATGCAGACATCCGGGCGTGCAGGGACGGATCTTTGTGTTGTGAATCTAACATTTCAGATTGGAAAGTGGATGAAGTCTCGCTGTAAAGCCGGTGCTAAAGATGGTAAGGCCATGTGCCAGTGAATGTCGATGCGGAGATTTGACCTCGTATGAGATCCACAGGTGACATGGCAGCGGCGGCGGCTGCAGCTAGCCGCACAGTGCGCGTCACTTCGGATTATTCCGAAGAGGAGATGACAGGCAAAGCATGGCAAAGCCGCAGAGCGGAGTGCAGAGATGTGCAGAGCAGATCGAAACGGAACTTCTCGAACTCCCTTTGGAAGCCCTAACTTGATGCAGTCCTAGATGCAGCTCAAACATTGCCATGGCTACAGACTTTATATTATTTAACGAAGCAGTCCGATTTGTTGAAGCGTTGCTATTCATTTGGCACGGATCTATCCACACGTCATCTTGACATATCTTGACACCGCTACTTTGGTTTGGCATGGTTGAGGACGGAAGACCCAATTGTTTTCCTAGACGCAGCCATGCGCATGGTCCCCGCGGCGTGACACAAAGACTCCTTGAAGAAAAGACATACTGACATACCCCTTAAATGATGTTGTCCATTTTTTGTTGTTCTGCACTTGGCAGGGAACGATGAGAGCAGAACAACCGAAGGCGAGACAGTCCTTGCCTGGTGCTGCTGGTGCTGAGCAAACTTTGCTAAACGCACCGTGTTTTCAATAACAAACGTAGAAACATACCACATCCAACATCTATCAAAATCTCTTGAACGTTTCAAAGATTTCAAGAAGTTTCAGGAAATAACTTGTACCATTTTGTACCATCTTGTAGCTCTGGGGCCTCTGGGACCTTTCGGGGCATTCTGAGAGCAGGTGAAAGCGAAAGCGAGCAGCCCACAGAGCGGCCCACGGAGCGCACGGAACGCGCTGACCGTCAGCTGACTCAGTGTTGAGAGTTGAGAGAAGCGGGGAGAGAATTTATATGATTTATATGATTTTATATGAAATGTCACAGAAAATGTCTGACAACTCATACAAAGAAATGTCGGACATGCAGAAAGTTCATAGAAAAGTGTTGTTTAAGTTGTATGTCATGATGACATCATGGGTAGTTGGGCAGCTTCGACCACTACGACTCCACCCTGTAGGAATCAAACTTGAAACTGTGAACAGCAAGAGGGATTTTGAGTCAATTTACTTCAAACATCTTCAAACTCAAGTTGAGCTGATTCAAAAGGATTCATCACAGCAAAGCACCAACAAGCGCCAACTCATGCCAATTCCAATGTCCTGGCTTCATCTCTTTTCCGTGGTGTCTTAAAAAAACTGCTGCACATTCAGGTGCAGTTCGAAAAACCATGTCAGAGGCTGGAGCGGGGCGATTCCAGAGCGATGTCGAAAATCAGTTGGTGCCAAGACAGATCATTCAATTTCTTGCAATTTTTCTTTGGAAACGTGTATTGCTTTTCGGAACTTTGATATCCGATGTAACCCTTGGCCGACCTGAAAAAATGGATGAAACATGTGCTGGAGATGCTGGACTGATTGCTGTCCGTTGCATTTCTGGTGAAGTCCTGTACGAGATCCCAGCTATCCGAAGACGAGCTGAGCTGTTCCATACTTTGCCACTGGACAATTTGTTGGTGAGGCCACCTTTGGGTTCCTTTGGCCTCCCTTGCAGCAACCATACTTGATCATTCTTTCAACCTCTTCCCTCGCAGAAAGTCTCCACATTCCTCACATTCTTCACGGGCTTTTGCTTTCCAAAACAGAGAAGTTCCACAGCGAATTTGAACAGCACAGTGTAGCATTTTTAAAGCTGCGCCAGGGGATGAACACACTGCGAGAGGCGGAGACGAGAAACATCAAGAGACATCAAGAGACATCGTTGGAACTTGGCAATGAAATTCCAAGACGTGGCTGGAAGTGCAAGAGGACTAGCAACGGAGATTAACCACTGCTATCTCCTCTGTCAAACATTCAAATTGGAAGTTCATGTAGGAAATTGCTGAGCACACTGGCAGCATTGTTGTTTTTTGGTGCAGATCTTGGCAAGAGTCCTTTTTGGAGTAAGGGCACATCGATTTATCCACCGATATGCTGTCAGGGGGAATATCAAAGAGCTCGCGAGCTCAGAGTCCGGAAGCACAGTGACGCATGGCATGACTTGAGCTCATGTCCTTGTAAATGCAATTAAACATAATTAAACGCATATAAAATTATATAACTATTGTATAAATTACAAAGTGATACTTAGCTCACCTTAGCTCATAGCTCTCCGCTCTGCAAAGCTCACCCAACAGCTGAACGAGGTTGATGCCACCAGAGGTGCCATGACCGCTGGGATTGGAACGTTTATTAAATATACAGGAGCGTTTATTATAATATATATATATAATTATATATATAATTATTATATAGCATTTATTAAACATTTTATTAACTAAGTGTTAACTAAGTATCCAGGTAGTCTATGGTCTCATGATTCTGACGTCATCTCAGGATCTCATTGGATTCAAAGGGTTGGTCGGAAAGTTCCAAGGAAATCCGAAGAACCCATTGAAATAATGTTGAACACGTTGAACTTTGAACAACATCGTCATTTGTCACGGTAAGATCGTATCATTGAAACACAACCAGCTCTCCAAACAGATAACCTGAGACGAATAGACGTGCTTTTACCGGACGACTTCAGTGGCACTCCATCCCACTCAACGGGTCACATGTTTCGAACCGCAATGAAGCGCAACGAAGCGCAGACGGTGTTGAATAAGTCGAATCTTCAGGATGCTGCGCAGACGTGGCAGAATCGTTGGCGCCGTCAGTCGGAGTGCATGGAGGTAGGATCTCCCAAAAGCTGCACAATCCTTGCCATCGCAATTTGGATCAGTTTTTTCATGATGTTTCACACGTGTGTATATAATTGTATGTATATATATATATATACATACATATTTATTAAGCGCTTACGCGCGACAGCCGGCCAGGGGCCCATGTTGAGGTGATAGGGGTCGAGCTCCCTCTCAAGGCTATGTTGCCCCATCGGGAGGCTATGTAGGTCCAGCTTGGGGCTATCGGGGGGTAGCTTGGGACTAGGTGGCCTTGGGGCGGCAGGGGTTGTTGTTGTTGTTGTTGTTGTCGTTGTTGTTTTCGTTGTCGTTGTCGTTGTCGTTGTCGTTGTCGTTGTCGCTGTCGTTGTCGCTGTCGTTGTCGTTGTCGTTGTGGTTGTGGTTGTGGTTGTGGTTGTTGTTGTTGTTGTTGTTGTTGTTGTTGTTGTTGCTGTTGCGGTGGTTGTGGTTGTGGTTGTGGTTGTGGTTGTGGTTGTGGTCGTTGTTGTGGTTGTTGGTTGTTGGTTGTTGGTGGTTGGTGGTGGGTTGTTGGTTGTTGGTTGTTGGGCCCATTTTGTGCCATATTGGTCCCATGTTAGCCCATCTTGGGCCCATGTTGCGCCCATCTTGGGGCTATGTTCGCCCATCTTGGGCCTATGTTAGCCCATCTTGGGCCCATGTTGCGCCCATCTTGGGGCAATGTTCGCCCATCTTGGGCCTATGTTGGGGTCACCACTGTCAGGGGCCAGGCCAGCTCACCAAACCCAGCTCGTCGGACCTCTTTGCAAGCAAATTGAGTCCCAGCAATTTGACAGGTCAGTGCTTGACCATGCGCATGTTCCTCTTTCGTGTTTTCTTCCTTCTGTGTTTTGCCGCGAACAAGAACGAGTTGCCGAAGGTTGGAAAGTCAGCTTTCTGGGAGCCCGGGATTGATCTTGGAATGGGCCCACTTGTTATGAAAATATCGGCGCTACTTGGGGAGTCTAAATTGGATAAGGTTTTCAAACCTGATATGGTTTTTCTTCTCCCAAAACCGCTGGTGATGGTGATGACCAGTGCGCCAGGCGACAACAGTGGGAGAGGAGGACCTGGAGGACATCCCCCTCAGCCCTGTCCCGCTTGTCTACGCAGCTCCGGTTTCCCAGCAGATGATGGGTTTGTTTCCTTCTTGCATACTAGCCTGCCCTGCTAGCTTTGAGGTTTGCATTGGCGAACCGACAGTCATTGAAGGAGAGGGTGTGCAGGCGGGAACGGTGAGGTTAACCCCTCTTAGAGTTGAGACTTTAATAGTAGCGAGGGAGCCTTATGTTAAAAATAATTTTGCTTATGATTTTTTCAAAATTTTAATATTATTAAATCTATGATTTGTTTTTTTTTGATTTTTTTTAATGAAAAAATATGATGAAAATTATGATGAATTTTATGTTTTTTCTTTTTTTTTCGTGCTGGCATTTTTATTTTTACTTTTATGTTTTTTTTATGATTTTTGATGTTTTTTTTGTGATTTTTTTCATGCCGAGAAAAACAAAAATAATCATAAAAAAAATAAAAAATCATAAAGAATCATAAAAAATCATAAAACATCATTAAACAAATCATAACAACATCATAAAAAACTAAGATCATAAAAAACAAAAACATATAAAATCACAAAAAACATAAAAACAAATCATAAAAATCATAAATTTATGATTTTTTAAATGTTTTTTTAAATGTTTTTTTTGATCCTGTTTTTTTTTTAAATGTTTTTTCCCGAGAGCGTCTGAGCGCAGGGTTCTTCCAATAGTGGGGGTCTGTATCTCATCTTCTCATCTTCACACCTTCTCATCTTCACACCTTCTCTCACACCTTCTCATCTTCACATCTGCTCATTTTCACATCTGCTCCTCACACCTTCTCATCTTCACATCTGCTCATCTTCACATCTGCTCATCTTCACATCTTCTCATCTTCACATCTGCTCCTCTTCACATCTGCTCCTCTTCACACCTTCTCTCACACCTTCTCTCACACCTTCTCATCTTCACACCTTCTCATCTTCACACCTTCTCATCTTCACACCTTCTCATCTTCACACCTTCTCATCTTACACCTTCTCTCACACCTTCTCATCTTCACATCTTCTTCACATCTTCTCATCTTCACATCTGCTCCTCTTCACATCTGCTCCTCTTCACACCTTCTCTCACACCTTCTCTCACACCTTCTCATCTTCACACCTTCTCTTACACCTTCTCATCTTCACATCTTCTCTCTCTCTCACTCTCTCTCTCCTCTTTTCTCTGTCCTTTCTCTCTGTCCTTTCTCTCTCCCTTTTCTCTCTCTCGCCTTCTTTATCTTTCTCTCTTTAGGCCGAGGGTGGTGCCGGCGGGGAGTCACGAAACGCAACCGTTTCGCACGAAATGAGGTTCGATCGTCAAAAACTGAGGTAAAATTGCGAGTTCAAGTCGTCCCGCGCAACCCTTTCGCACGAAATGAGGTTCGATCGTCAAAAACTGATGTAAAATTGCGAGTTCAAGTCGTCCCGC